TCAGCCTATTTAATCCCTCATTCTCCTTCATTTCAACACACCTCTTGCACTCCCCACATATTTCCCTGAGCTATTCATACTTTGCTTCATCTTCCTCATCAAAATATTATTTTTGAGAGTTAGAAATATTTTTTCTTTGAGTGCTATAGAAGTTGTCATCCATAGAGCTTAAATCTTTCAACACTACTTTGCTCAATTGTGTGAGCTTTCATTCTTGTGTTGTAAACTCAATCTCATTTGAGTGTTGTTCTTAAGACTTGTGTGACTCAAGTCTTGTTGTTGTAAGAAAGTGAGGCTTGTGTGATTCAAGTTCTCAAGTTGTACTGGTTTTTCAAGCACCCGTTGAAGCTTGAAGATTAGTAGGACTTTCGAGAGAGTCTCTCGGAGGACTGGACTAGCCACGAGGTGGTGAACCAGTATAAATCCCGGTGTTCTTGTTTCCCTTACTCTCCTTACTTTTTCCTGCGATAATTTTTACGAAAAACGTACATTCTTGAAAACAACTCTATTCACCCCCCCTCTAGAGTTGCACTTTTGTCTAACACTTTTGTATACTTTAAGCCTCTACTCACTTTCTAAACGCTTCAACAATGGCTAGAGGAAAGTCGAGGACCAAAACTGAGGCTTCAAAGAAGAAGGCCAACACCGACGCCACAACCTCTTCTCTATTCTCTCCTTATTAAATATGATTGTAGTTTTATCCGTTATATTCCGCATTTCCCTTTTAATGAATAAAAGTTTACTTTCAATTCTTTTTGTTAATGTCAAAAGGGCGAAGATATAAAGGTTATGCATAGATTGAGGGGGAACTTTTTTCTAAAACTAACTCTTATTCAACACATAAACTTTGTTGAAAAGAAATATGCATTTATTAAGGGGGAACATTTTTTAAGTCTTAAATCAATCTTCCTATGCATAACCCCATCTCGTTTGCCATTATCAAAAAGGGGGAAATTGTTGAAACACGGGCTTGTCACGTTTTCGTACTAAAGCCGTGTTCGTTAGATAATGCCAAACCGCCGTGATCAAGACAAACATTGAATATACAAGGCGAAGAACGAAGATAAAGAACAAGAGCTAAAAGAGACCAAGAACGAAGACCGCAGTCTTTAGTATTGTTGAGTCGGTCATAATTGTGATCAAGACCGACCCAACCCTCACGCACTGGCTCTTTAGGCTAAAATCTTTCATTGAATTTCTTACATCATAAAAATGTTTTTCAAACTTGTTTAAGTCATAAAAAACACTTGGTGTTCGCTCAAACCAAAAACCAAGCCATTCAGAGTTCGGCTTTCAGAAACCGGCGTTTGGCTTTCAGTTATCGGCATTGGTTTTTGGCGTCCGAACCAACCAAGTTGTTTTCAACATTTTATGATTGGTTTTCAATCTTTGGCATGTTTAAACAGTTCTCCAACAAAAACACTTTGCAAACCACCTTTCGCTTTTGGTCGTTTGGCAAAAACCACGCTGAACGGTACAAACTTGGCTAGCCGCGGTTTTTACTTAAATGAAGTGGTTTTCGAGTCTTTTTGTGTGGGAATTGTTTTTGAATGCGTTTAAACGGTTCTCCAATCAAAACATCATGAAAACCACATTTCGGTTATATCTTTTGGTAAAAACCACCCGTGTACGGCATTGACTTGGTCAACCGTGGTTTTTACCTTAACGACGTGGTTTTCAACTTACAAAGCTTGTTTTGACATCACAATACATTAAATAGGTGTTTTAAATACTTAGTTTTTGTTAGACGCCTTTCGCACCTCTAGAGGGGGGGTGAATAGAGGTGTTCACGAAAATATTAAAATTTTTCGTTTAAAGAAGAAAAAGCGCAGGAATAAAATAAAAGATTAACGGATACAATGAAAGCGAGGAGACAACGATATATCCTGGTTCGGCCTAATGCCTACGTCCAGTCCCCAAGGCAAACGTGCCCGAGATTCCACTAATCCATGTTAAACTTAACGGAGTTTAACAATCCGAATACAACTCGAGAACTTGATTTCACAAGCCTCTAACCTTTCCACCGAAGTCTTGATTTCACAAGACTTTGGATTTCAATCCAAAGCTTGAATTATTTCAAATTCAAGTTTTTTTACAATTTAAAAACTTACAAACCAAAGTGCACAGCGGAAATGACTCTTCGAACAAGAGCGAATATGCTGTAGATTACAACGAAACCTATAGTGTATGGCACAAATGACTCTCCAAACTTTAATATGAAGGATTGCTCAAGAAAATGCTTGAATTAATTGAGTAAGATGATTTGATTCAATAAAACTCTTTGAAATTCTCAAAGGATAGCCATTGTTAATGTTCTTGGATGTTCTTGTATGTTCTTATACGTTCTTGTACATTGAAAAACGAAACTAGATTGAGTATATATGGATAGGGCCGAAAAAAACCTCCACGGGAATTTAAAAACTGACCGTTAGTTGTGAAAACAGTCGATTTATTCGAATAAAACACAATTTATTCGAATAGTTTGGATAAAATATGATTTTTGAAAACACAGGGCTTATTCAAATAATTACTGGATTTATTTGAATAAAATAGAACGAACTGCAAAACTGGGAGCCTACTTATTCGAATAAATAGCCATTTATTCGAATAGTTTTCAAAACTTTGGAAAAACTAGAATCAGCCCTTATTCAAATAAAACAAGCATTTGTTCGATTAAAACAGACTGAAATGCAATCTGCAGGAGTCCTTCTTATTCGAATAAATCTTGATTTATTCGAATAAAAACCTGGGGAGAAACATTTTTGAAGAAAGGTTTTGAGAAAGGGTTTTGAAAACAATCAAAGAGAAATTCTTGTAGGAAAAACAAAGTATTTGAAGAATAAAGATGTGCCAAACACTTTAACATGAACTAAGACTCAAAAGAAATAAAAATCTAGAAAACCTTTAATCTTCAAATATTGTCTTGAATCTCTAAGCAAAGTGCTAGGCAATCCACATGAAAAGATCCAAATCCAAAGCTCATCCCATATGCATGGTTGTCATTATCAAAACACAAGGGTCAACAATTTCCCTCTTTTTGATAATGACAAACCCAAATTAACAACAAGTGCTTGGACTCAAATCACAAGGTTTCCTGTCTCTCAACAAATTAAACACACACACAAGATACAAGCAAACATGCAACTAATTAATCATAAGAAAAAGTTCAAGAAAGCAACTTCCCCCTGTTTGTGTGCACTTGACCAAGCACAAGCAGTACCCACACTTCCCCCTTTTGTCATAAGCAAAAAAGGGAAGGTAAAATCACAGAAAATGTCAAAGTCGTAATAAAAAACACAAGGGGTTATGCAAAAGATAGAGTCAATAAGTAAGGCATAAGTTAACATAGTTAATGCTAGAAAATGAGTTTCCAATCCACTCATTCCTCATCCATGGTCGCATCGTCTTGTTCAACAGCATCCTCCTCGTCATAATCAAAAACACAAGGGGTTATGCAAAAGATAGAGTCAATAAGTAAGGCATAAGTTAACATAGTTAATGCTAGAAAATGAGTTCCCAATCCACTCATTCCTCATCCATGGTCGCATTGTCTTGTTCAACAACATCCTCCTCGTCATCATCCTCATCATCTGCATCACCATCAGCATCAGAAGGAGCGGCATGAGAAGAAGAACCCTGAGGCATGTAAGGTGCGAGCGCTTCCAAGGATGGTGTTTCCCATTGCTCTCCACTCTTGACCAACATCTTGTTCAAGTTATAACCGTAAGTGGCCTGTTGGAGCTGGATGTTGTTGAAGGAGGATTGGAGGCTTTGCAGGGACTCAAAAAGCATAAGCAATGTGACCTTGTTACCCCGGGAAGCCACACGTGACTGAGAAGTTCCTGTTTCTTCACGTTCTTCATCTTCACCATCAAGCTTGGTTCTCATTACTGTGGACCTCTTGATCCTCCAAAAAGGAGTTTCACTCTCCATCTCGGCATCCACAAATTCAAATCCCTTCCTTTTCAAAAGATAGGTGAGAAGCATGGGGTACGGTAGAGATTTTTTCTTTGCCCGGCACAAGTTCATGTATGTCAAGATGTACTTCCCCCAATTGATAGACACCGGCTTCAAGATTGCATAGATAAGCATGGCATCGTCTTTGCTCATTTGAGGGTGATTGCCCGAGCGCCCACGCAGGATATAGGAGGAAATATATTGAATGAGGCGTTGAGGAGGTTGCATTCCATTCACCTTGGGCCGTCCAGATTCATTGAATTTGGGTCGAAAATTCATCACTTCCCAACACTTTTGTTCATCAAAATTATACCACGGGTTTTGATCATTANCACAAATTCAAATCCCTTCCTTTTCAAAAGATAGGTGAGAAGCATGGGGTACGGTAGAGATTTTTTCTTTGCCCGGCACAAGTTCATGTATGTCAAGATGTACTTCCCCCAATTGATAGACACCGGCTTCAAGATTGCATAGATAAGCATGGCATCGTCTTTGCTCATTTGAGGGTGATTGCCCGAGCGCCCACGCAGGATATAGGAGGAAATATATTGAATGAGGCGTTGAGGAGGTTGCATTCCATTCACCTTGGGCCGTCGAGATTCATTGAATTTGGGTCGAAAGTTCATCACTTCCCAACACTTTTGTTCATCAAAATTATACCAAGGGTTTTGATCATTATTTTGGGTAATGAGCTCCTTGTTACTATTCTCCATGCCAAACATCTCATTCAATTCACCACTAGAAATAGTAACCTCTTTACCACAAAACTTAGAAATAATCACAAATTGATGATTTCTACGCTTGAAAGTCACATCGGAGTAGAAAGCTTTAATATGATTAACCGGGATATGAGATTCATGAATTGTCACAACATTTATCAACCCCGAAGAACGAAGCTTAGACAAAACCGGTTCATAAGAATTATCTCGCTCAAAATCAACAGGATCAACAAATCGAGGGGTTATGATTTTGCGAGGAAGAACACTATCATGAAAGAAATCCAAAGCTTCCTTCTTTTCAAAGAAAATTCGAGGATTAATAGTGAATTCAAACCTTGAAATTTCGAGGGTAGACGGACGCCTGTTTCCCCTTATGTCATAATCCCCCCACTTCTCAGGGTGCTGTCCATATGACTGCTGAGGAGAGGGAGAACCTTGGGAGGAAGGCCTCGCACCGGAGACCAACCGGGTAGCTTCTGAGCGAGGATTGCATCTCTTCTGGGGCGGGACGTACTGGGATGGCCGAAGGAGGTTCTCGTCTTGGTACCTCCAGGAAGCGCGCCGGAATTCGGGAGAATGTCCCCTGATATTCGCTGGGGGAAACATGGAGGGTTCTCCCCCGGGGGCAGGGGAGAAGTCACCGATTATTCGGAAGCGGAGGAAGGCCTAGAAGGGAATTCAGGTGTTGGAGCTCCAAGTGAGGGAAATGCCAAGGAAGAAGAATCAGAAGAAGAATCGGAGATAATAAGATCAATAAAGACAACTCGGTTGGCGTTATTAGCCATGTTGAGAATTTGATTGTGTTGGTGAAGGGGTTCAGCCTAGCCCCTTAAATAGGCGAGTAATTCTAAAGGAGAAGTGCAAGGGACGCGGAGTCAAAGCACTTATCCGATTAGGAAACAGTTGCGGATTCCCGAGGAAAGCTAGGGTTGCGCCACTTCATTATTGGGCTAAGGTGAATTGGGCCCGGCGTGATTAAGGTGGGCCAGTCACTTAGCGCAATGATAAAGGAAAAACAGCACTTTGTAAGCATGGTTAAGCCCAAAACTGAAGCGGATAAAATTCCGCTAAGTCCTAGAGAGAGATAAGAATCCCAAAAGGAGAAATAGTTTGCCAGAGGAAGGAGTCTACAGAAACGTGAATATGAAAGAGATAATGACAAAGGATAAAATGTTACAAGCATTGTCAAGTTGTTACCATTTAAATGTTACAAAGTAAAATACAACAGCTATTGAAGAAAAGGAAAGTCAAGGCCCCGGGTCAGTACAAGAATCTGGGGGAGCAAGAGGAAGAGGCATGCCATAGTAAGAGATGAAGTCATCCAAGGATCGGTGTTCCGGGAGACCGCTCTGGATCACCCCGTAGATGCAGTGTTGCATATCAAACTTCCCTTCTTCGTAGAGGACCTTAGCGCGGGTGGTCAGGGCAGCCACCTCCCCTTGATGAGCAGCTATTGTCTTCTCCAGTTCACCCATCCTTGACCGGAGCTCGCTGGCAGTATGTCTCTCTTTCTCCAACTTCCCGAGGATAAGCCGTTTCGCCTCTATGTGTTTTATCACGAGGTCGTTAAGATGGGCGCCCTCTTGCTTGGCGTCATGGAGGGAATTCTCCAGCTCGGAGATCCGGGACTCCCTTTCAACCAACTCAGTCTTTAAACTCCCTACCTTGTCTTCTGAAGTTGAGACCTTTGACTCTAGGATGGAGATTTGCGCCCGGAGTCTGTCAAACTGCGTTTCTAGATCCTGGGTCCCCCTTTGGTAAGTAGCAATCTGCTCTTGCAGGGACATGACCTTGGACCTTTCAGCTTCTAGTTCCATTGAGCCATTTGCCTTGAGCCGGGCATTCTCTTCTTGAAGGACCTGGACTTGTTGTTCCAGGGTGTCAACTTTCTGCTGCAGAGCCCTGAAAGCCAACTCTTTCTCCTTCAGGACCACCACGGCCCGGTAGTTCCCTGACGCTCCACCCAAGTACTCCTCAGTCAGGGTGAGGAGTGATTGTTGGGCCTGGAAAGGGGAAGGGAAGTCAAGAAAGAGATAACTAAAAATAGATAAAGAGCTTCTTGAAAAGGAAGAGTACCTGCTCCATGAAGTGCAGGAACCTACAATTCCCCAGGCACGCCCCTTTGACCTTTCAGGGGAAGACACCCCTTTAAACGGGATGGGGTCAGGACCCAGGGGGTAGTAAAGATCCGCGTTCTTCTATAACCTTGCGTCTTGAAGGGAGTGATGTGGAATCAAACCCCTTTCCTCTCTCAAGGCGTAGTATGCTGCCTCCGCCGGGGGTACTGCAGCGAACTTTGTCTGAGAAATAGAACTACGGAGAACGACACCCGGTAGATCTAAGAGGCTGTGAACCGGGAACTCAATGACGAAGTAGCGGTGGGACCATTTGTCGTGTTTAAACTCAACCCTCTCAAAGATTGGAGCATGGGGATGTGGAAATAGGCTGTAATAAGGGAAAGGCCCACCAATACTGAAGAAGATGAGGAATTTGTCCAGTGTCGGAGTTCTGTCCAGGGCACAGCACCGCAAGATATAGGACGCAACATACTTGTGCGCATTAGCGGTCAACTGGCCAGGAGCAAATCCGAAATGGCGGCAGATGTCGCGGAGCAGACCATGGAGGGGTAATCTGAACCCATTCTCCACAGAGTGATAGTGCATGACCATATACTTCTGGGGGTTTGGGTTGTGGGATAAACTAATTCATCCGACAGCGCTGGGATGGTGGACCCGGAAAGCTTTGCCCAGAAGTACAGACACTTCTCGAAGTTCATCCTCCTTGATGATAGAGGATTCATGGGTCCAGGTTGCGGGATCTACAGGAGCCATTTCGGAGGAGGGAGCGAGAATTTGGAGGAAATCGCAATCGGAATTCGGGTCGGGTTGAAATTCGATAGCGAAGGAGGAAGAAGACGAGTCCAGAAGGGGTTATGTCCGTTGAAAGGAGGGACCCAAGGCACTCGAGTGCGACGTTTCTAATTCGACACGAAAACCGAAGGTGGCTCGTCATTAGTTTTCTAGCGACACGTCGCTAGAAAACTAGGGGGCTTGTGATGGATATCGGGTCTGATGGACCCGACTCCAGGCCCAATAGAGGCCCATAATAGCGCAAGATGGATAAGGCCAGGTGAGGGTAACGGGCCGAGCCCGCTACTACACGCATGGCAAATGGGAAAAGGACGGCCCAATCATGGATTAAATCAAGACGACCCAGTCCAAGGAAGGAACGGGACACGTGGCCCACACCACCAGATTATGGACGAGATGGGAAGAGAACGAGACCGGAAAAGAGGGGATCACAACCCCATGATCTCCATAATTCCTCCCATTATGTATAATTTTAATTACAATGTTAGAAGTACTATAAAAGGAAAAAGAACCCGCCATGATAAGGGGGACGATTCAAGCAATTCTGCACTTAATCAAAGAATATCATTACGAGATTAGATCTTTCTGATTCATATTACGTTCTTGGTCCGCCATCCGATCGGGTTAATCCCATCACCTGCGTACAAATTTCTAGAAGAAGAACCCATGATCGCTTTACTCTCAAACGGTTAAGTTTGGACGCGAGTTAGGCTCTGATACCAATTGTTAGAATAAGTGACTAACGCTAGAGGGGAGGTGAATAGCGTTTGATCGTAGAAATCGCAGGGATAAAGTAAAGAGCGGAATAAAAAGGAGTAAAGGGAGCACACCAAGATTTATACTGGTTCACCACAACGTGTGGCTAGTCCAGTCTCCCGAGAGACTCTCTCGAGCTACATTATTTCCGTTAAGCATACGGGTGCTTAACAAACCATTACAACCTGAGAACTCGAGTCCCACGAGCCTCAATACACTTGCTCGGAGATACCGCACTCCAAGACTTCAACCCGAAGGAAGAATACCTTTCCTTCGTACAACCAAGGGAAACAAGCTTCCCTTAACGTGTATACAACACTAAGCACTCAAGAACAAGACTCTCTTTAAGAGTAGATGTTGAGTAAACTATGTACGCTCAAGAACAACTCAAACTTCACAAATTTGGCTCAAGAATGCTATGGAAAAAGATGTTATATGAATGCAATGATAATATGTGTAATGTGAAGTGAATTGATTGCGTAAAGCAGACCCAAACACCTCTTTTTATAGTGCCAAAAGAGGCTCCAACGGACCAATGCATTAAAGGGGTGATTGGCTTGATTTATGGGATTGAATAAATTGTGGATCTGCAGGATATTTGCTTCCCAGCGATTTATGGACTTACCCATCGCTGGTAAGCCAATTGTCCTTTAGTTTTGAAGCCAACGGTCACCTACCCATCGATGGGTACAAGCTCCCCATCACTGGGTGGGAGGTTGACTTCCAAACAAGGAAAGAATCAACCTTAAATGACTTACAACGGTCATGCCTTCCCAGCGATGGTTATGCCTTCCCACCGCTGGGTTCCCATCGATGGGGTAGAGTCCCCATCGCTGGGTAAGGTCGTTCTACCTTGTGTTGATGTTGGACCAAGGCTTTAACAGCCATGGGTAGAACTTCCCATCGCTGTTTGGCATGGTTCTGGAACTTGGTTGGGCTAAAGGACCGCTTACTCATCGATGGGTAGATCTTCCCATCGTTGGGTGGGTGGTTAGTCAAAAACCCATGGTTTTTTCCTTAACCACGGCCTAGCCAACCGATGCAAAAACCGACCGAAAAATACAAAGTTCTCCAAAATAAAAACCAAGTGTTCAAAACACTTATTTGATGTATTTGGCTAAGAATTAAATTGAGAGACTTTAAAAACCACGTCATTTGATTAAGAACCACGGCTAGCCAAGTTTATGCCGTTTTGCGTGGTTTTTGCCAAACGACCAAAAACGAAAGGTGGTTTTCAAGGTGTTTTTGTTGGAGAACTGTTTAAACATGCCAAGGAGTAAAAACTAATCATAAAATGTTGAAAACCACTTGGTTGGTTCGGACGCCAAAAACCGAATGCCGAACGCCGGTTTTTGAAAGCCGAACGCCGGATGGCTTGGTTTTTTGTTTGGGCGAACACCAAGTGTTTTTGATGTTTTAAACATGTTTAAATTTTTTTTTATGATGTGTGAGATGCAACGAAAAGAATTTTAGCCTAAAGAGCCAAGGTGTAAAGGTTGGGCTGGTCTTGATCACAATTGTGACCGACTCAACACACTAAGACTGCGCTCTTCGTTCTTGGTCTTCTTTTGGCTCTTGTTCTCGTCTTCGTTCTTCACCTTGTATTTTCAACGACTTGTCTCGTTCTCGGCCGTTTGGCATTATCAAAACCCTTTCATAAAGTTGAACACGGCTTTAGTACGAAAACGTGACAAACCCGTGTTTCAACACCTATTTTATTCTTAAAATTTTATATGTGAGTTATTACTTAACAAATATAGAAATCACCTTAAATAGGACTAAAACATAGAGAAAAGTACCAAAATAGGACTTTCATTTTTTTTCTTGAAATAGGACTTTGCACTGTGGTAATGTGGCATTTTACATGTGCACATTACTATACTTTTTTGGTAATGTACATGACCATGTTTGGTAATGTAAGTCCTATTTCGAGAATAAAAAATGGAAATCCTATTTTGGTATATTTTCAATGTTTAGTCCTACTCTGGTCTTTCTCCCTATTTTATTCTTAAAATTTTATACGTGAGTTATTACTTAACAAATATAGAAATCACCTTAAATAGGACTAAAACATAGAGAAAAGTACCAAAATAGGTCTTTTATTTTTTTTCCCGAAATAGGACTTTGCACTGTGGTAATGAGGCACTCTACATGTGCACATTACTATACTTTTTTGGTAATATACATGACCATGTTTGGTAATGTAAGTACTATTTTGAGAATAAAAACATGGAAATCCTATTTTGGTATATTTTTAATGTTTTAGTCCTACTTTGGTCTTTCTCCAGGGAGAAAGACCAAAGTAGAAGTCAAACATTGAAAATATTCCAAAACAGGATTTCCATGTTTTTATTCCCAAAATAGGACTTAAATTACCAAATGTTAAATATATTCTTGTTATATTTAATATTAATGTATATTGGTAGCTACCATAATTGTATAGGATGTATTAATTATGGTTTCCTATTGTCATTAGGAAATCCTTGTATATATACCCATGTAATCTCCCATTATTATTCAATAGAAAATATTCATTCTTCATGGTATCAGAGCACTAAATTATTCACGGCTTCCTCCTTCTCTCTCCCTTGTTTTTTCGGCCAGCCTCCCCCTCCTCTCTATTGCCGTCTTCTTCCTTCCTCCGGCAACCATGGCCGATTCTGCATCTTCTGGGAAGGTCATCTCCAACAACGAAACCTCCTCTCCAAATAATTCACCCCATCTAGCTTTCACCACTATATCTAACATTAAACTTCATATCCTTGTTCAACTCAGTCTCTCAGAACCAAATTACAAAAAGTGGAGTCGATTATTTCGTCTCTTGATCCTCCGCTTCAACCTCAAGGGCTACATCGATGGCACGACCATCGCCTCCTCCGCAGATGATGCTGAATGGTATCAATTTGATGCCCTCATTCAGGGATGGATCCTGTCCACGATCACCGATGAGGTCTCCGATCTCGTGCTCGCCAACAACCTCTCTGCACATGCTCGATGGACGGCGATCTACAATCTTTTTCACAACAACAAGCATGCCCGGGAAATGCAACTGGAGCACTATTTCCGTACCACTGTGAAGGGTCAACTCTCCATCAACGACTATTGTCATCTTCTCAAGAACCTCTCCGAATACCTTGACGATGTGGATGCACCGATCACCGAACATGCCCTTGTACTTCAAGTTCTACAAGGCCTCCCCCACGATATCCGAAGTCAGGTTCAATTTTTGAAATATCAAAATCCACTCCCGACGTTCTTGGAAGTTCGGTCCGCCCTTCTACTCGTTGTACAGCAGCAAAACAACACCGTTTATGGCGCCGGCACGCCATTCACGGCCTTTCTCAGCACCGGCGGTGGCGGCGGACATGCAGGCAGCGGACACCGGCACGAACGAGGCAGCGGCTACGTCGGTTCTGGGAGCAGCGGCAGCGGCGGCTTTGGCGGCGGATATGGCGGCGGCTTCGGCGGACGCGGCAGGAATTCTGGCGGTGGCAGTGGAGGCGGCTACCATGGCAGGGGTCGCGGCGGTAGTCGAGGTCGTGGCGGCGGCAGCACCCAGCGGCAACCATCGACTACAAACCCCGGGACATTCCCCTCTCCCTCCCCTGAATTACTTGGGCCACGGCCCTACCCGCCCCACCCCTGGCCAAGGCCCACCTACATCAAACCCAATATCCACTCAACCCTTACTCACCCAATCCACCTTACCCCACACCCAGCCCAAATCACCCAAACCCAAACCCTTTTACCCATTACCCAACCCAGCCCT